CTTCTTTGGTCTACTGAAACTAACTCTATTAGTGGAGTATTGGATTGGGAATTAGCTGGTATTTATCCATTGTCTGATTGGAATCCAGGAAATACTTGTTGGACTGTGATTGAACCGAAAATGCCAGAAAGTTCTAGACAAGATCAGTTTTTTAATATGTTGGATAACGAACTTGAGAAGAGAGGTGCAAAGATAGTGGAAGATGTAGAAAGTGAAGAATATCACTACAGAGAGATTGTTAGTTTAACTTATTGGATTGTGCTGAGATTTGTTGAGAAACACAATGATGAAGAGAGAGTTAAAGAATGGATGAAACAATGGGAGAAATACATGACAAAGTTAAATCTATGATAGAATACCGGAACAATTTGTTGTATTTAATGGAACTAGGAGAGATTGAGTTAGAAGTTGTTGGTGTTACATCCACACACTCAATATCCTTATTTAATTTCTTTAAAATATAATAAAATTAAAGTTGTGGTATTTTTTCTTTAGAGAATGTCGCATTCTTTCAATATATAAATGTGTGAAATATGAACATACAACAATACAATAATCTAAATATCTAGTCCGCTGCATTAGTGTACATATGTTTTGTCAGATTTTCGTTTTCTTATAGCGAGTTTTTGAAGGAATTACCTTCAAAGACTGATCCAAAAGTGAAAAACGTAGATAAGTTAATGTTTTATAAATCTTATTTTGATGACATGTCTGTTTTATATCATTTTAATAGTCATATATATATAAGGGTTTGAGTGGGTGTGGGTGCGGATGTTCACTTCTTTTTATCCACACCTACACCCACACCCACATCCTCAAGAATGAGACAAATATCATTATCACGTTTTCAACGTAAAAAAGTTGGACGAAAGTCTTATCACGAATTAAAAAATTCATTGTTTTTGGAGGAAATGAATAGTCTAGAGCTAATGAATATTGAATAGAAATAGAAAAATATACTTCGTGTATATGTATATATACATCAAAAGAAACAATATATCAATATGTAATTAAAATAAATTCGTTATGCCGTGGCAGAGCGGCCGGCAGAACGGCAAACATTTTGAAATGTTTCCTTGACATAGTGCCAACCTATACAGACAAATGGATGAAAGTCAGACTTGAACAAATGAATTAGTCGTGATAAAGTAGCACATATATACCACAAGATATGAATTATACCCAGATCCATCATTACAGTTATCATCAGCAGGTGTGGGTGTAGGTGTGTGCGTGTGGTGTGTTGGTGTGAATGTTGTGTTTAGACACCCACATACCCATCCAAAGTCACAACCCTACCCAAATCTTCTAATTGAAGCAATAGTACAATGAAATGAATTCATTTTATTGAAATTTTTCTTTGTTTCTGATTGTTAAATGCAACTGGTATTGAATATAGATTTATAAACCAACAAGATTCAGTTTTTTCGTGAGGGACAAAATGAATACATGTAAATGATTGTTAAAGACATATTTAATATGTTATGGAATGTTCGAAAGAAATAATATAGGTATTGTTCTCGTGGAACATTTTTTCATATTAAAGAATATATGATGTTGGTTAAGTGGATGTCGTTCAAGAATTAACTAAATGCTTAAGTTTAAATTGTAAAAAAGAGTATTCAACTACTTTAATCCTTTACTTCGTGTTAGTCCATTTTCGATCCATTCATAGAAACTATCTATTTAGAGTATTAAAGTTTGGGATCGATATGATGCTTTTAGAACATTGTGCAAAGCTTTTAATCAACTACAAATTTGAAAAAAGACCTAAATTTCTTTTCATCATTCCTCAGTTAAGATATATGAGTTGGAAAACAGTATTTTCTCAAGAAAGTAAAAAGAATATGTATTATTTAATTACACAGACTGATTATTCTGATGTTTATGAGGTTGATACATAATTAATATTATGAGCATAATCTATTTGCAGAGTAATTCTTAAAAATCTCTTGATTATAGATGTAAAAGCAACTTTTTCATGTCAATTTGGGTCATTGTTGACTCATTCATAACGAACAACATGAAAAACGGTTTTTCTAGAGTTACGTTTTTCGCAATATAAAATCATTAAATAATACGATTTTCATGGTAATCACTTTATTAGAACGATAAAAGATAGAAATTTGTAGCCTCTACCATGACCTTCTTCTCGGCAATACTTTGACAATAGGAATGAGTGATTTCAGATCGGAATCAGAATCAATGATTCCATATTGTATAGAGAACATGAAGATCAACGGTTCCAATACAATCCTGGAAGTAAAAGAACTGACTCCAATTCTAAAATAGTCGCTTTTGCAAATATCTAGCCATATATCATGCTCTGAAATGATTCATTTTTCAAAAAATAGTTGGTGATAAGTCTTCAAAGTTATACAGGTAAAATAGCAGTATAACTGCGAAAAAGTTAAATTAACAGTAGATTCAATTTTTATGTCATTCAAGATAAATGAGTCATTTTAGAACCATTCTGCATCTCCACAGTGGAATGACTTAGTACAAATTTAACCACACCGTTGTCGTAACTAGCATCTGCAAAAACTATTCTCATAGTTATCTCAACATCAAAGCTATTGAATGAGTGCTAGTGGTAAATGATTAAACAAGATTTAGCATCACAATATAATAACATTTCATTTTCAAGTCGTGTCAAATACTTTGGTTGAACTTTAAAAAACCGGTCGGTTGTCACTGGTTTTTATCAATTTTAAGAATACTGAAGCTAGTCTATTTTACTGTTCATCAAAATCCTACCTATAAGTTTTGAATTCACTCTTTTTCATAGTGCAATAAGTACCACGAATCAGGGTGAATGTATTGATTATGGCCACGAAAAGTTAGCTAGTCATTATAGATACTTCAAAATTTCGAGTTCACTTTCTGAACTATTTTTAACTGGTTATCAGAACCTCTTAACCTTTCGATACCAAAATATCAGAAAAGAATCTGTTCCACTGAGATAGTTATGCCAACCATTAGCATGATGCAACTGTAAAAATATCTAGGCATCAGGAAATCTAAAAATATAAAGTCTAGTATGAAATCAAATTCTATAGATCATTTTATATCCTTATGTAGAGTAGTATCCTTTTAAGAATTACAAACCCTTTCAAATTATGTTAACCAATGATTTCAAATAAGATCTTAGATCAAATCTGCCAATCCTTGAGAATTACTATATGACAAGTTTTTAAAAGAGTTCTTCCATCTTTCTTAGTACTAGCATACATAGAACGTGATTGACTAAAATACAACTTGTTACTATAAGAAACTTCAAGAGTTATATGACTTTCAAGTTGTATATATTTGTAGAACTTCAATAACAGACTTTTTTTGAAAGAACTAATTGGTTAATTATTATGTTAAAAAGTTGTTTCAATTTAAAATTATACTGACGATTCTTTATATTACAGTTTGTATGGCATTGCATCGAAAAATTTATTTCATCTGAAGACTTACTAACGAACTACTATTGAATCTGATTGTAAATGAAAACTTATGCCTTGATTCTTGATCATCGAAATTCAAATTTGTATTCTTTTTTATTGTTTAGTTAGCTGTTATTCATCATTTTGGCAAAGCTCTTGATGAAAGTTATAGTTTATGTGAAAGAAAATAATCTTAGGTAGACTTGCTTGTTATCCGCCATCTCATTATTATTTGAAAATGAATAATTCATCTGATTTGTTTCTTTTAAATTTTTTAATTAAAATCTATCATTAATATATATTTATGGATGAATTAACAAAGCATAATTCATCGAAAGATAAAGTCTTAACACATACTAAATGTGTTCGTTTTGATATAATTATTTTCTAATTATCATGATTGTTTTTGACTAGGAATACCATTCAGAACAACTACACAAATTGTATTACCTCCTTCAATAACAAATAACGAAACTGTCACAATTGCTAATGGAGATACTAATCTTTCACGTATCTATTTTAAAGAGAAAGAAGAATGTGCACCATCTGATTCACAATTAAATACAAGCGAGCGACCTATGATTGAAGTTAAGCAACAAAAAACTGAAAAAAAGAATTGCGTCCTTTTTTCTCTATTGTTGCATATTTAGTGTGAAAATAAAACATGCGCAACATGATATTTGGTTACTTTTAATAGGCAAGATGTCCATAAATAAGATTGAAGAATAACAAAAGACTAATAATTTAAATGTTTTAATTTTTAATGGTATATGAATATTTTCAGAAGAATTGTATGCAAAGGTTTTATTTTATACTTGTAATTAATGTTGTAAGTGAGAAAAGACTCATTCTTTAATATCTTGACAATTGCTATACGTCATATTGATTCTTCTTCGAATTTAAATATTCAAGAAGTTTTTTTTTGCTTACCCCATAAATTATAAACGAGAGTCATAAGAACTTTACTAGAAAATTTGAAAATGAGTGTTTGTTCTGAAAATTTATGTTTAATCTTAAGAAAGAATATTTACAAGTGAGACATTGAAAACTTTTATAGAAATTATGCTCCATATTATATTCTAGATGTATCTTTAATATCCTGTCAATGTTTACTCATGTTATTGGACGTAGTTTCGTATATTGTCTTATTCGACGATCACTTTCAATACTTACTAACAATTCTATATTACTTCCATCACTCATACGCATTTATATCGTAGGTAGTGGTCCATCTGGTTTTTATTTAACACAAAATTTAGTTAAACTTCGCCACACAATACCAACAACAATTGATATTATTGAAAAATCGCCTTCATTTTTTGGTCTTGTTCGATATAATGATGCTTCACATGATCATCCTGCAGTAGAAAATGTTATATAAATATTTACAACAATAGTTGAACATGAATATGTGGAAGAATTACAAGAATTTTATCATATTATTTGCCTATAGTCCATCTGTCGAACGTAGTTTTAAGATTTTTGGTGAGAAAACATTAGAAAATATTTTTTTCTACTAAAGATTGTATTGGTTAGTATAATAGTAAAATGAAAAACAAAATATTTTTTAATCCATTATTAAAAAAACATTTTTCAAACAAATGTACCAGAAAATGCTCAATTTTAAGTACAACTTGATTGTACAACAGATCAAGCTGTTATTATAGAATTGGCCCTAGTGAAGGTACTCATCAAGAGAGTACTCAAAAAGTACTCACGCTAGAAAATGCCGCGAGAACTCATGAGTACTCAAGGCTTTTGAGTACTCACTAGTGGTACTCGTGCTAGAATTTGAGTATATGAGTACGACTATTGAGTACTCACGCTAGAATCTGAGTACGACCATCGAGTACTTGCCTTAAAATAATGAGTGTTTAAGGAGTATTCCTATATAGGTTTTGAGTACTCTAGTCGTTTATATAAAATACTCATAGGCCTACATTCTGTTCATTACCGTTGCACTACGTGCATTTTATTTTTTATATAAAATTAAAAACACAAAATACAATGCTACATATTGAAAGTATGAGACAACAATCAATACGAGAGTTACAAGTATTACTTTATCTGCATTAGTTTTTAACGTAAATACTAGAGATAAAGAAATATCTAACTTTCTCCTATAACGAACGATGAAGATTTCTTTCTCTATCTTATAAAGTAACAGTACAGTAAACTGATTAGGTGGCAGTAAAATAAACTGAGAGAAAAATAAATGATAGATTGATTATTCAGTGAAATTGAAATATGTGATTACAAATAAAGATTCAGCATTGATTGATACACAACAAAAAAGATAAGTGTTTAAAAATCGTTTATATCTACAATCATTTAACAATTTATAAAAAAAAGTAAAATATAAATTATGCGTCTGTAGTTATTGTCTTCATGTGTGTATAGTTTAAAATCGCAATCGATTTGCAACAAAAGTGGTTAGTTCTTTTATTCTATTACGATTCATCATCAATCTGAAAAACTTTATGTTAATACAGAACTTTTTATCTAAATTTAGAAATTGAGACTAGAATGAATTTTGATTAATCTATTTAATTCAATATTAAATCTTACTTGCGAAGTTAACAGTTAAAAATGAAAAGTTGTTTTGTTTTCTTTTTTTCTTCAAGTCATCATTCAATGAAATCGTATAAACCAATCATCAGAAAATAATAGAGGATAAAATATAGAATTCATTGAAACAGTTCTTCTCTATTTTTCATCTAAAATTACATCGTTTTTCTTTATTACATAATTTTAATTTATTTTTGTTCATACAAATGCATAAATGTTTCACTAAATATTCTGCGAAAAAACTCGTATGAGTACTACACTGAGTACTCGCGTCTTTTTCTGTGAGTTAATCTGCAAAGAAAAACTAGTATGAGTACTCGTATGAGTACACATACAGTATTCATACACATAAAATTCTTGAAGTACTCGTACGAGTAATTTGAGTACTCATGCTGGCGAGTCGTACTCGCTTGATGAGTAGTTTCACTAGGGGGGAAATATAGCATTTTGATTGTGCTAAAATTCTTTTTTCGTCTATTGATGATTTAGCTAAAACAGATATTACTGATATCGTAGTACTTGATATACTTCGTCAAAGTCGAATGCAACATATAATACTTGTTGGTCGACGTAGAAGAATCCAAATATTGTCATTTACTATAAAAGAATTTCGTGAACTTACTAAATTAACTGATTTATACTCAATATTAAACAAATATTTTAATTGAATTGATCAAAATATGCTTAATAAATTAGAACGGCCAAGAAAAAGATTAACCGAAATAATGTTTAAAATAGTTTGAACAAATTTGTATTTTTGAAATTTATTATTATTGAACAATTTTTGGTATTTATGGTTTTGGCGCCATTCAAAATAATTGTTGAAAGTGTTCATTTCGAACATATAGAACTTGTAGTTAGTTGTGATTTTTCTGACCAAAATCTATCCATCTAACAGAATGGAACTAAAGAAGCAATACCATGTGGTCTTGTCATTAAAACCATAGATTATTATGACATCCAAGTAAAAATGAAGAGAATCTTTGCTATTCTCATTGAGTTTGAAAATTCAAATAGTTAATAATCGGAAATGCAGTAGAGTAAGACGGATTATCTCAATAGGAGACTAGACATGGTGATACTGCTCATGTCTAGAGTAGCCACCATCGGTGAGTGACTATGAATGCAAGGGGGAAAAAGCGAGACTTCATCTACTTCAAAAAAAATTTGAAGTACGATTGAAGTACAGTGAAGTACGAGTGAAGTACGAGTGAAGTACGGTGAAGTACGTGAAGTACGCGTGAAGTATAGTGAAGTACAGCTGAAGTACAAGTGA